TTATCGTACACATACCAATTTCAGCAATTGAAATAATTTGAGGCCGGTGCAATGACTCATGCCTGTAATCCTAGCACTCTGGGAGGCCGAGGGGGGCGGATTGCTTGAGGTCAGGAGTTCAAAACCAGCTTGAGCAAGAGCAAGATCCTGTCTCTACTATAAATATAAAGAAATTAATTGGCCAACTAAAATATATATAGAAAAAATTAGCCGGGCATGGTGGCGCATGTCTGTAGTCCCAGCTACTCGGGAGGCTGAGGCAGAAGGATTGCTTGAGCCCAGGAGTTTGAGGTTGCTGTGAGCTAGGCTGGCACCACAGCACTCACTCTAGCCTGGGCAACAAAGTGAGACTCTGTCTCAAAAAAAAAAAAGAAAGAAAGAATTTGACATTTCATAATTTTTTGACATCCTTTATGATAAAATTTATTTTAAAAACCCCAAAGGTCATCAAGTTGAATCACATTTAAGAATATCAGCTAATTATTCATGCCTAAAGCTTTAGAATACTATAGTAGGTTATACTGAATTATTTAAAAGTAAATTACTGGAGCTTCCAGATAGCTGAACCTAGAGTGTGGTACACCCAGAGAGAGTATGGAAGCTCCACGTCCCTTCCCATATGCCTTGCCCTATGCATCTCTTCATTGGTATCCTTTGTAATATCTTTACAATAGACCAATAAATGGGGAAACTTATGGCTATATGGAAAATAGCCATAAAGTGGAACAACATGTGCCCGAAAGAATCCAGTTGACTACATTGCATCATCAAATTGATCAAAGCAAACTTGTTATGTGATTAATACTAGACTATAGAGAGAAAAAAAGTGCATACGATATTATATAAAGCACTTAGTACAGTGCAAAGTAGCTTTGAAATAAATTGTTACAAGCAAAATATAAAACACTTGAAAAAAGAAAATGCAATAATGTAGAAGTTAAAACTATAATTAAAAAGATTTGACAACTATAATACACATGTATAACCGCCACCCTGAGCAAAAATAGAAAACATTTCCATCACTCCAAGAAGTTTACCCTGACCCTTTCCAACAAAACCCCTACCTCCGCGTGACAACTATATGGTAGACAGAATGAATGACAATTTCCCAAAGGTGTGCAGACCTTAATGCCTGGAACCTATGAATATGTTACCTTACATGGCAAAGGGGACTTGAGATGGGGAAAATATTCTGGATTACCTGGGTGGGCCCAATGGATCCACATGAATCCTTAAAAGTAGAAGTGGAAGGCAGAAGAGTGGGTCAAAGAGACGTGATAGCAGAAGCAGAAGCAGCAGCAGCGAGTTGAAGTGTGAGAAGCACGTGACTAGCTGTTGCTCGCTTTGAAGACAGAGAAAAGGGGCCACAAGTCAAGGAATGTAGATGGCCTCTAGCAAGCAGGTGGGAATACCAGCAAAGAAGCAGGGACCACAGTCCTACATCCATAGGACTAAATTCAGCCAAAAACCTGAATGATCCAGGAAACAGATTTTCCCCTACAGCTTCTAGGAAGAATGCAGCCCTGCTGACACCTTGAGCTTAGCCCAGTGAGACCCATACTGGACTTATGACCTATAGCACAATAAGATAATAGGTGTGTGTTGTTTAAGAAAAAAAAAATAGTACATTACCACACAGACAATATAACAAAAGAGCAGAGGAATCCCATCATAAAAGGCTTTTTCCTTGGTAAACTGGTCAGGCAGGGGTATGACCTAACAAGTGTTTAGACTTTTGAGGTTTGGGTAAGGAATCTAAAACTTCTGGTGGGTGCTGAAAAACTTGATGGGCTTATACCAAAGGATGTATACTTGTCAGAAATTTAATAAAAAGTAATCTTAGACTCATATATGTGCAAAACTTACTACAGAAACAGCACTAAGCAGGTTTCTGTTTACTCACGGCTGGGTGTACATCTACAGTGTGGCTTCTAGCACTGCCTTCTCACCCATCCATGAATGGAAGCTTCCTCCCAGTCACAGGAGAGTGGCTCTAATGCCCAGCTTCGACCCTCCTCCTCTCCCTCCATCTGAAAAGCTCCTGCGGGGCATGAAGTCAGAGGGAGGAAGGGAATTCCCAGAGGATGGGACTTCTTATATGCAGTACTCAGAATATAAATATATGCTCCCTCCAGCTGCAGTGAACTCAGATCACTGAGAGATGGTGGCTCAGGCCAGTAAATTTCCAATTCCCCTCTTGCAGAACAAGTAGTCGTCCACAGGCAAAGCTGAGAGCCAGCAGCCATGGAGGGGTGAAAGTGTCTGCTTCTTCCTGAAGTGAGCCTGAGAGTGACCAGAGATCCCTTGCATGCTATTAGTGTTCCCATTGTCCTCCATCTATTCAGGCCTCTTGGCATATTGAGAAACCTCAATTGCTGGGCTGCTTATGTCAGCAACTAAAAGGGGGTAGTAAAGCAATTGACTCCATTCTTCAAAACTTAAAAAGAATTTGTTTTGTATGGATTGTTTTTCTTTTCCTGAGAACTAAATTGACACTGTAGTGTTTTTTTGTTATATGATCCCTTTTCAGCAATGTCAACAAACATTTATTAAGAGCTGTGTAGCAATAAAAACGGGTAGTAGTCAATGAGTTATTACTGTTTTAAGACTGTTTCTACCCCTTTACAAATATACATTATTTATTACAATAGCCCTGTGATACAGCATTTCCCATTTTACAGATGAGGAAATGGAGGCACAGGAAGATTAAAAGAATTCCCTCAGTCACACAGGTAGAAAGTAGGTGAGGCAAGATTAGGATCTTGGTTGGTCTGACTTCAGAACTCCTAGTCTTGACCAGCAAGATACAATTTAAAAATTATGTGGTAGAAGCTGCCATTGTGTAACAGGCATTAATTCATACCAGACTGCACAAAGTCATGCTTTAGGGACACCCTTATCAGTAGGGAGCAGTGTGTACTAAAGAGGCTTCAAAGGGATTGTGATGTGAGTTTGAATTCCAGCATAATTACCTGACATTTGAGCCCAAGCTTCCCCACTATAAAATTATGGTAATGGCATACCTGCTTTACAGGGTTGTCATGATAGTTAGATTGAACATACACAATGCTTGGTGTAGCTTAAATCATAGCCACATTGTTATTTTGATGATATATCCATACGTAACTTTTGTTAACTAGCCCAGCAAATAGCCTTAAGCAGTGCTGGACACACTGGAGTCTGGGAGGGTCCCTGGGGTTATGCCAATATATTCTTGGGGGATCTCTAAATTTTTGAGTTTGAAAAACTGAGCTTAAGCATTCCTATATTGTGGACACAAACAGTTACTGCCTGTGTTTTTTCTGAGGCAAAAATAGGGTGGCAGGAAATAGTACCTACTTAGAAAAATAATGAGTTCCCTTATATAACAGCTATATGTATTGTTCACACCTGCGTAAATAAAAGAACACAAGACAGAGAGAAAAGTCATTGGAGGAAACATGGCTCACACAAGGAGGCAAAAGGCAAATATTCCATATGTAGATGCAGCCTGGCTAATGGCCAGGACACCATACACGTGGTGCTTCATGACATGATAGGGGAAGGTTCTGGAAAGATGAATATATATAGTTCCTCACCTTTCTGGATGGCAGTGTAAGCCATACTTTCCGACTAAGGATCACTGCTAGGTTTTCTTCGGAAATAGTACAATGGGAAGCAAGGTGCCGTCATCTCTTTTCCAAAAAAAGGTAAATGAGTTTGGCAGTAATGTAGAAATGCCAACTTCGTGACAATTTCTTACATATACATATATATTTTTACATATCCTGCTTTGTAAAAATAAAGAATAAGAGGGAAGAATCAATGAATGTTCTCCCAATGGAAGGGATGGAATTAAAGCATCTGAAGGAATAAATTAACATTATCTTTAAATGAATTTCCTTGCTAGAGACCGTTTAGCTTTAAAAAATATTCTAGATAAAGTTCCTGTGGGGTCCCCAATGTAAATTAAGATGCATTTCATCAGGTCTTAAGAATGCAAGAAAACTTATGGAGATCATAATTTTTAAAGCTTAGCCAAATTAGCTAAGGTCCAATTTCACAATAGCTCATATTTTTGTTCAGGTCATACCATTTTGGTAAGGTGTAAAAGTGCCATCTCCTCTACAGAAAAGATCAACTTTCCCTGAGGAATTGACTCTGGTATTGCTGTCCAGCTACCTCTTCACTTAAGTCCAACCTAACCTGCCTTTCCCTCACCCCCATATTGTTTGAGGAAATCATTAACTCAGTAAGATCTTGCAACTCCTCCTCACTATGGGGCAAGCTGCATAGAGCTTCCATGTGAGAAGCAGTATGATTACAAACCAGGATCTGCAGTTGCCAGGGGCTGCCCTCATGACATTTTAATTGGGGGTTATTTGAAATTTCCTTTGGCTATCTCTGTGCACAGCCTATCACTGTGTATGACCCGTGTTTCTTACTGTCAGTCCCTTAGGCCTTATAGTATAGGTTCCTCAGTTACTGCTGTTCAGATGTAACTTCATGGTATCTTTCTGAAGCACCCGTCAGAAGACTTCACGGTGAGTTTTTGTGCACCTCATATACCCTTTAAGTCAGACTATTTTAAGTATATCCTTCAAATACAGTTAAATTCAATTCTGAGGTTTAGCTGCTTTGAAAGCCACTGTCACTTTAAGTGCTTCCCTGGGACCTCTAAAAGTGAATTTTGCATATGCCACAAGACTACATTTTGTTAAGTCAGACCTTCCAAAACACCCTCTCTTTATTTACTGAAAATCTGTTTAACTATTTTCACATGATGTGTTAATAAATGTCATTGTATTCATAGAGATTATTCCAAGAAGATTAAAGGTCACACTAACCTATTTGGGTCTCATAAATCACAAGTGCCCTCAAACTCAGGAAAATTCCCACAAAGTTGGATTACTTCTCCAATGGCCTAGACAAAGTTTATAACCAAAAAGACTTACAACTTTTAAGGAGATTTCCAGGGGGAAATACCAGGAGGAATTCAATCAGCACATACACGCAGCAGGATCTATAAAAAGTGCTTCTTTTGCATTTATGAGAATAGGTCAGAGATGACCTCTGTGTTATCAAATCTTTAAACAAAGCCTTCTACACATGAATGATACCCTTATAAGGGAACCCAGGCCTCCAAAATCAAAGAAGCCTGTGGTTTTTCCAATTGTATTATTAGAACCCTTATCTTCTGAGTGAGTTTTTCCTGGGAGCCTAGCAGGAAGGACAGGAACACCAACAGCAGCAAGTCAGCTTTATGCAGGAATGAAACACTGGTCTTTTAAATCATTTTTGAGTACCCATTTTGCACCCAACATTTTTTTGTGTATCATCTCAGTTGTTTCTATTCCTCACAGTCTTTTTTGAGGTAGGTATACACACTCCCAATTTCGCACACTTCCGAATTCCCTTTCTTGCTTTATTTTTCTTCATACCACTTCCACTTTCTAATATATTGTATAATTAATTTTGTCTATTGTCTGTGCTCATTACAATGTAAACTTCAGGAAGGCAGGTTACTCTTGTTTTATTCACTGCTACTTTCATGGAACCCAGAATGAATGAGTGAGTGAATGAATGAATGAATGAATGAATAATGAATGAGGTGAGGCCCAGAGAGGCTGACTTTCCATCAGAAGACTGACAGAGGTCTGAACCCAAGCCATGTGCCGTGCTGATGCACTAGATGAGCAACCGTAGTTGTGAGGATTAGAATCTAGGCCATACTCCAAGGAAGAAACAATATGTGACTGGTTGACTAGTGAAGAACTGTGTGCAGTCAAAGAAAACCAGTGGTATGTAAAAGGTGCAGGGACATAAGTTCAACTTCCAATCCTTGACATCTGTGGGGAGGGGAAAACAGAAAATGTGAAGCCTGGCAGTCAAAATGCAAAATGCCGACCTTGAAGTCCTTCACATTTTGGCAGGGAACAGCACATGGAGGACGGTGTCCACAATACTGTAATCTGCATACGTGGCAATCTTTAAGCCAGTCTAAGACTGACCAATATTATGAATGTAAACACAGGAACAAGACCCTGCCCATCATGTAGTAAATGCCTAACACACATATTTCTACCATGTACATTTGGTGTGGCTGGGGAACAGAGGATTTAAAAGGCAACCAGTAGGGAGAATTCAGAAACGCAGCTGGGTCCATTCTTTCTGTTAACTGTGCTAAAGGATTTTGAGCCTGGCATAGGACATCTGCTTTGCTTGACAGCTGAACTGGAATGAATTACACTGGTTAGGGAAGTTCCCCAGAGGGCTTTGCTGCAGATGAGTGAGCCAGGCAGGCCTCAAAGGGGGGCTCTGGGATGGAAAGTATCGTCCCCCAAAACCGAGGCCATTTTGCAGGTTCTCAATTCGGAACAATAAAAAATACCATCATCGACAGCTAATAGCACACCACCACCACCACATCAGGACGTCACTGTGCCCATTTTATAGCACAGCCACCCTATGAAGCAGGTATTTTTATCTGCACTCTGACAACATGGAAGAAGTTGGATGATTTAACCAAGGTCGAACATCTAGGAAAAGGTGGGGGACATAATTCCAAACACAGGGCGCCCCAGTCGAGTTCCTTTATCCTACACTTCTTAGGACCGAAGGGTCAGAATGACATTTTCTTAAATGTGTCAGTAAGGGCTGACATTCCTCTGGCCATAGGGTTCAGAAACATGAGTAAAATTAAATGTTTTCGATCTTCAGATTTGCGACGTGTTGGGATTATTCTCCCAAGTCTGCGCTCATCTACCCAGGCACCTGCACTTTTAAAACAAGTTAAGTAGAAACTCAACTCTTCTCCCTCCCTCTTCCGTTGGAGGTCGTGGCTTGAAAGATTTGTTCTTCTCAGTTCCGCTGCAGGACACCCTGCCTCTATCCTTCTCGTCCCCAGGTCCCTGTGACTGAAACGTCTTGGAGTGAGAAATTCTATGAGATGGAGGCAGGATCGGGGGCGTCAACTCCAGCGCAGGCCTCCTCCAGCTGACACTGCAAGATACCTAATGAAATATACGAGTTTTGTTCCAAGGGCTGCCCAAAAAAGGTGCGGAGAGAGAAGCGCGACAACCCCCACCTTTGTCGCACACGCTCCTCCAGGGGCGGCCTGCCTGCGGCAGAGCTCCAAAATTGGCAACCTGGGCCTCACCGCCGCCTTTTTTAGCCCACATTTCCCAAACCAGGGAAGAGGCGAATGACTAAAAATGCAAATTGCAGCGGGGGCGTCCGCGGGCTGGCCCGCGGGTGCGGGGCGCCGGGCAAGGGGAGACACCGCGACCTCAGGCGCCCTCGCAGCGCGCACCGCGGGTGCTCGGCGCAGGGAGGGCCGCTCCGAAAGCCGCTCCCCGCCGGGCCGCTGCCCCCGCTTCCGCCTCCCAGGCAGCGGCGGGACAATGCGCTGCCTCTTTCCGCCGGGGCTTAGGGAGGGGAGGCCGGATTAGGGCCCGCGCCTTCCGGCCACAGCCCTCCCGCGCCGCGCCGGCCGCACACAGGTGGTTTTCCTCTCGGGAGGGGCGGCCTCGGCACTTTTATATAACAATGGAGCTTTGCGCGCCGGGAATGCGCCTCCCGGCCGCCGCGGCCCCCGCCCGGCCACGCCTCCATCCGGCTCCCAGTCCGTCCGCCCGCCCCGCTCGCCCGCCTGGCCGGCACCTCCACGAGTTACCTGCTGGCTCTGCAGGGCGGCAGAGACGTTCCCCACGATTCCCTGCAAGACAGGAGCCGGGGGTGGGGAGGGCGTCCCGGCAGGCACTTCTGCTCGTCCCCCACCCGCCCCAGGTTTCTATGGAGTCCGAAGTCCTGCCGTCAGCCCCGCACCCGTCCACGGGGTCGCGCAAGGCCCGGTGCTCGCCGAGCTGGGAGGAGGGGGCAGCGGGGCGGCGGCAGGAGCGTAGCGCGCAGGCGCCGCCAGTGCTCCCAGGAGTGCCAGGCGTCTCACGGGGAAGGGGGCGGCTGCGTGGGCGGGGGAGGGGGTGAGGAGGCGCCCCCTCCGACAGGCCTCCCTGTCTACCGTGGCCAATCGCCGGGCCCGCCTCTGAGCCCCCGCAGCCTGCAGGCCTTGCGGGTGCTGCTTCCGCACGCCTTGGCGGTAGCAAGGAGTGTGGCGCGTCCCAGCACACCTCGCCCAGGCAGCCACGCCAGACTGGCTCCTCCGTTGGAAGCCGAGCTCCATGCCCAGAAATCATTAACGAGCGCGACCCCAGCACGCGGTGGGGAGGCGACTTACATCCCCGGAACAATGGCTCCTAACGCCCCACTCCGCTGCAGCGGAGTACAGAAGTATTGGGCTGCCAAAAGAGTTTGTTTCTGCACTCTAGACTTTAAAAAAAGGAAAAAAATTAAAACGCCATCGGAAAAAATAAAGCTTTCTTCTGGTTTTCTGGACAACTAGACATTTGTTTGTTTGTTTTAAAATGTTTCAACCAAATCCTGGTTTGTTTCGAAAGATGTTGGATTAGCATTTAACACCTCGTCGGTCACTAAAGCCCAGTTAGTTCACCAGCCCCAACACAGCCTCGGCTAAAAGAACATCAGAGCAAACAGAGCTGGGCTTTTTAAACTGGCAAACAAATGCCACACACAGCCTAAAGGAGGGCGGGGGGTTAAGACGAACTGGAGTCCAAATGAGTTTGAAGGGAATGAAAAGAAAAGAAAAAAAAAGTTAACACAAGTTTTCCTAGAAGCTAGCTCGCGAGCACAAGCGTCGCGAACAAGGGCTTTTGTGCATGCTAATTGCACCATTTGTGCGCAAAAGTTCCGACGCAAAGTGTGAACTCTCAACAGAAGGAAACATGAGACAACTGAAGTGCCCTGGTTTATGTGCCCTGCTCCTCCTCCGCTGCCGCCTCCTCTTCTTTCTCCTTCCTCCCGCCGAGCCCGCTGTTGAAGCTTGTTTGCACTGGGGCTTATCCGGAGCGGAAATTCCTTTCCGTTTTTGTGAATGACAAACTCATTAACAATTCATCAACACAACCTGTTCCAGCCGGCCCGTCCCCACGGCAACAGCCCCTTCCGCAGAGCGCTCATTGGCTGGCCGGGAGAATGTATCCATTGAGACGCTCGCTGTTTGTATCCATTGAGGAGCTGGCTCGCGCAGGGGGTGTGCGAGGGCTGAGTCCAAGGGATAGTGAGCAAATCGAGTCTTGAATAATCCGGGGAGAAAGACGCCCGGGTAGGTTTGAGGTGCAGCTTTAGAGGGAGGGATTAGGAGCCGCTAGACTTTTTTTTCCCTCCGCTCTCAGTAGCGCGGAGTCCGAATTAATTGGATTCCATTCACTGGGGAGGAACAAAACTGTCTGGGCAGCTTCATTCAGAGAGATCCATTGACACTAAGAGCCAGCGGCTGCAGCCGGGTGCAGAGGGAACCGCCGGCTTCACTTGAGTCTCGCCTACCCCGACCGCTAGCCTCGGCTTGGGTAAGGCGAGGCGAATTCAACTCCGCTCCGGGAGCGGCTGCTTCGCGCGCTGCGCTCAGCCTATGCCTGCCCCGAGGGGCGTCTGGTAGGCATCCCGCCCTCTCCCGCAGCTCGACCCTCATGATAGATACGCTCAGACCCGTGCCTTTCGCGTCCGAAATGGCGATCAGCAAGACGGTGGCGTGGCTCAACGAGCAGCTGGAGCTGGGCAACGAGCGGCTGCTGCTGATGGACTGCCGGCCGCAGGAGCTGTACGAGTCGTCGCACATCGAGTCGGCCATCAACGTGGCCATCCCGGGCATCATGCTGCGGCGTCTGCAGAAGGGCAACCTGCCCGTGCGCGCGCTCTTCACGCGCGGCGAGGACCGGGACCGCTTCACGCGGCGCTGCGGCACCGACACGGTGGTGCTGTACGACGAGAGCAGCAGCGACTGGAACGAGAATACCGGCGGCGAGTCGGTGCTCGGGCTGCTGCTCAAGAAGCTCAAGGACGAGGGCTGCCGGGCGTTCTACCTGGAAGGTACGTGCCGGGGGAGCTCCGCGCTCAGGGCAGGGCGAGGGGCGTGGGGCTGCGGACTGCGGGCCGGGTGTGCGGACTGGAAATGCCTGTGTTGCGCTCGGTCGCGGCTTCCGAGCCGCGCCGCCGGGTTAGGGGCCGCCGGCCGGCTAGGTAGGGGCTGCGACCGGTGCGCGTTCCGCACCGCAGAACCAGGCCAGCGCCGAGTCCGCCCGCTTCCGGCCGCGGGCTGCTCTAACGAGTTCTGGGGCTTCTTACCCAGAACGTTTTCCACGTAACCCTGCTTTCTATCACTCAATTTTGAGTTAAGATTTCCAGGACGGGAGAGGTTGTTGGGGGTGCAGATTGGCACCTCCTAGCTCCTTCAAATACTCAAAGTTGCAATTATGTGCATTTCCGGATTCAAAAGAATAAGGACTCCCAGGGGAGGCGGGCCCGTTCGTTGCATTCCAGAGGGTGCACATTTAAGTGTATTTCTCTTACATACATAGCTCTGCATGTCTAGGGGTTCGTGGGGTGCTCGTGGTGTTTCTTGCGGCCGGCTGCGGTTCTCACAAGCTGTGAAAACTACTACGACATCTCGGGTTACAGGACTGCTTTTCTCGTTCTGGCAGGTGGCTTCAGTAAGTTCCAAGCCGAGTTCGCCCTGCACTGCGAGACCAATCTAGACGGCTCGTGTAGCAGCAGCTCGCCGCCGTTGCCAGTGCTGGGGCTCGGGGGCCTGCGGATCAGCTCTGACTCTTCCTCGGACATTGAGTCTGACCTTGACCGAGACCCCAATAGTGCAACGGACTCGGACGGCAGCCCGCTGTCCAACAGCCAGCCTTCCTTCCCCGTGGAGATCTTGCCCTTCCTCTACTTGGGCTGTGCCAAGGACTCCACCAACTTGGACGTATTGGAGGAGTTCGGCATCAAGTACATCTTGAACGTCACCCCCAATTTGCCGAATCTCTTCGAGAACGCAGGAGAGTTTAAATACAAGCAAATCCCCATCTCGGATCACTGGAGCCAAAACCTGTCCCAGTTTTTCCCTGAGGCCATTTCTTTCATAGGTGAGACTAATTAACAGTTTTCGCTCTGACATTTAAATGCAAAACTATCAGCCATTCATGGCGTTTAAGCTGTTAATCGTTCTTACTGCTTGCTAATTTGTCAGATTGCAGGTCTCTAATGTTTCTAGGGTGTTCTTAAGTCTGGTTTATCTTCTTGCTAAGGAAAGAAAAACGTGCCTTTGACGTGGCTGCAGACCCCAGGTGTATTTGAAAGGCTGTTGATTGAATCTTTGAATTTAGTCACTTGAAAGGGGGAGCTGTTCATAATCAGACAACAGACCTTTCCCACAGTCTCTGGACTCGGGAAAGGCTATATAGAAGTACTTACTGTAGACAGGAATTCTAGCATTGCTTTATAATTTAAAAAGACGTGGGAGTTATTTTAGGACATCAAATGAGTTGTTGGAAAGCGGTATGAATGCTAAATGTTATCCACTTGAATGATACTGTGATACTGGTAACTGAGACGGTGGGTAACCTGAGCCCAGCAGGAAGAACTGTGGGCTGGAAGCCTGGGAGAAGTGAATCTCCAGGCATTGTAATGCATTTCCTATTACAAAGGAACTCATTTTCAGGCCATGTCGACATCCTGTTCCTCCTAATGGGCTGTCCCCTGTGACTTCCCTCTCTCTTTTAAAATGCCTGAATACCTCCATTGTTAGCTGCACAACATTTGGAGAATAATTTAATAGACCCTTGCAGTCTGCATGTCTGTATAAAAGGCATTCACAACCATATTGCAGGGTTTCTGGTATTCACATGCTGAGGCAAAGAATGCACACATTAAGAAGTTTTTTGTTGGCAGAAATGTAATACAAAAGGTCCCTTCTCAGAAAATATCTGAAATATGTAATTGTGTCCAGTGTGCATGTTTTATCTCAGTGATACAATTTCTGCTGCCTGCAGGGCAAAACTGCCACACACGAGTATTTTTTTTTATCTTTTTTCCCCTAAAGTTCAGCTTTTAGACTGATCATTCACAAAGGGTGGTTTTCAATCTACTGAAATCTTGCCTTTCTTTTTGTGTTCACAGATGAAGCTCGGGGCAAAAACTGTGGCGTCTTGGTGCATTGCTTGGCTGGCATTAGCCGCTCAGTCACTGTGACTGTGGCTTACCTTATGCAGAAGCTGAACCTGTCAATGAACGATGCCTATGACATTGTCAAGATGAAGAAATCTAACATCTCCCCTAACTTCAACTTCATGGGCCAGCTGCTGGACTTTGAGAGGACGCTGGGACTCAGCAGCCCCTGTGACAACCGGGTTCCAACACAGCAGCTGTATTTTACCACCCCCTCCAACCAGAATGTCTACCAAGTGGATTCCCTGCAATCCACGTGAAAGGCCCCACGCTTTTCCTCACTAGGATGTGTCCGTTCCTTCAGCAGTTTCTCTTGGCAGCATCAGCTGGGCTACTTTCTTTCTGTGTGGCCCCAGGTGTCAACGTGACACCAGCTGTCTGTATTAGACAAGGTTACTAAGTGTGGAATTGGTTATTACAAAGAGAGATTTGCTCCATTCTCTTTGGAAGAACAGGACATGCTGTATAGATACAGGCAGTAGGTTTGCTCTGCACCCACGTGTACAGCCTACCCATGCAGGGACTGGGATTCGAGGACTTCCAGGTATATAGGGTAGGACCAAAATGGTAGGGTAGGAGCATGTGTTCTTTAGGGCCTTGTATGGCTGTTTCCTTTTGATTCTGGAACTGACTATATATTGTCTTCAGTGAAGACTGATTCAATTTTGCATATAGAGGAGCCAAAGAGAGATGTCAGCTCTGTATTTGTGATATCAGTTTAGAAAAAAACAAAACCTGATATTCCATTTGATTATTGTAAATATTTGATCTTAAATCACTTGACAGTGTTTGTTTGAATTGTGTTTGTTTTTTTCTTTGATGGGTTTAAGAGAAATTATCCAAAGGGCGAAAGAGCAGTATGCCACTTCTTAACACACAAAAAATGGAAAGTTTTGCTCTTTTCTAATCCAAAGGGTATATTTGCAGCATGCTTGACAGTACCAATTCTGATGACATCTTCATGGACACTATTATCAATAAGACCTTGTTATGGCGCAGTCTTTAGTCTCTTCCACGTATCTTCCTCATGATTTTTTCCTCTTGCTGTAGTTTGACTATGCCTTACCTTTGTAAATATTTTGGCTTGTGTTGTCTCAAAGGGGATATCTTGGAAAGACACCAAAATCCTGGGCTCACTTTTTTTTTTTTTTTTAACTTCAGCTGTGCTAAACAGTATATTACCTCTGTATAAAATTCTTCAGGGAGTGTCACCTCAAATGCAATACTTTGGGTTGGTTTCTTTCCTTTTTTAAAAAATTTGTATAAAACTGGAAGTGTGTGTGAGAGCATGGGTACCCATTTGATAGGTGAAATGCATATGATTGTGAAGGAAGGAGAGTTAAGTTGCTCCATTCTGTTCGTGGTGTAAAGTTTTGAGCTGGAATTTATTATAAGAATGTAAAACCTTAAGTTATTAATAAAATAACTATTTTGGCTATTGAATGTGTATTTCTAAAGTAATCTCTTAGTTGTACTTACATGTGAAGTGACATCAGAAATTTTTCAGTTGGGGACTAATATTGGCTTGTAGGTGTAGCAGGGCAAATTTCTTATTTTTAAGCTATTCCTAGAATGGTTTTCAGGTGCAGTTTATGAAATTCATCTTTTGCTTCAAATAAAGATGGCATCATAGAATGGACTGTCTGTATCATGTATATGGATGATACTTTCTATGAGTATTGTTCCAGCTTGTTTAAGGAGATATTTAATGCCCCTGTGGAAAAAAAAAATGAAGCCATGCAGCATAAGCTTGCTCAGGAGTAAGATTTGGATATTCATGAACAGCCCTAAAGAGGTGTACCAGAATAACAAGGTGACAGCCACATGTTAATCCCTGTGTTCTTCACCATCAAGAACCTCTGCTCAATAATGCTTAGACATGTCAGGGAGAAAGTGGGAATCTTGTTTCTGTTCTGTGGTTACTGTCTGGCAGTATCCTAACAGAATAGCAAACGAATCCCAAATGGTATCTCTCTTTGTCTCCTTGTGCAAGGCGCATACATAGGTTTTCTCACTGAGCCTGGATGTGGCTTTAGAATTTCACATTGGCACTTGAGATGAAACTTTGCCATCCCTGTGCTAATGGGCTTTCGTGCTTAACTGGTTCAGAATGTGGGTCAGAAACCCCTACTGAACCTTGTAGAGATTATTTTGAATGGTTTCTCTCAGGCAAAGACTTAATATCCTGTCATTTTCCTTGGGAACTCTCCTTCTCTTGCCCCAGCGTAAAAATACACAACTCCCCCCATCCCCCTGCCCCCCCCCCCAAATAACCCAGTAAAGCGCAAATATATGGAATCAAAAGAACTAGAACACACATTTTGGGCCCTTTTCTGTATGAGCTGAGTCCCCTCATCTGAAGTAGGGAGAAAAATGAACTTTTCACCCACATGGCACATGTGAGATGTCATTGGATTGCTTGGTCATCTACATTTTAGGAGGCAAGTGGCCCTCATTCTATGGCAGTCACTTCAAACTGTCCAGTGTGATTTTTAAACAACTAAGTCTAAGAAGCAAACAGAAATAGTGCAGAAAAGTACCACTCAGTCTCTCCTATTTGGGTGTCCCAAGTCAGCAGGAGTACAGAAAGGAGAAGTGGGTTGCAGTTCAACTTGGCTCATGTTAATCCGGTTCTGAACGGTTTCCGCTCCTGGCATTCCCTAAACTGCCTGTTCAAAGTAGGGATTTGCAAGCAGCGTTAGCAATTTCCTGTCCAGCTGCAGCTCAAGTAGCTGGGTGCTTTTCCTCCCCTTTTCTTTTCTCTGATTTCTTTTCTCTTTCTTTTTCTTTCTTTCATTTTTTTAAAAATATGGGCTGTGGATAATTTTAGTGCATTTCCTCTTTGTGGATTATTATCTCTTTCCTCCTCGAACCTGCATACATTGAGTTCCTACTGCTCGGCTCAAGCCGACAGCTGGCCTCCCCAGCACTTCCTCTCGTTTCACTGTAGGTTTGTTGTTTGTCAGTCCACTTCTGAAATTAATAATGTTTTCTGGCCAAGTGCCACAAGCCATTACCACAAAGGGGAAGTAACACATATGAATAGCAGGAAGCCATGCAGGGTCACAGTGTGAGCTGAACCTGTGGAGGGAGCATAATTGAGCCTGGCCCATTCAGCAAGTGTCTGATGGCAATTTGGGGAGAGGGAGCTTGCTGCATTTAAGCAGCTCAAGCTGTGAAAAAAAAAAAAAAGTTTCCAATAAATTGGGAGCAAATGGTCTTTGTCACCAGTCTGAATAAAGGAGAGAGAGTAAGAAGAGTTTAGGGCCCCCGTAAAGTTGCAATGTCTGAGGTTTCTCCCCCCCCTCCTGGGATATTGTTTCATAAGGCTGGTGAACAGAGGGGTGCCTGTTTCTCTCTATTCCCACAAAAGGACTCATGTTAAATGGGTAGTTTTTACGGTTCACATAGGCCAGGAGATTCAAAGAGCTATTCTCTTCCCTTCTTTTTCTTGTATGGAAGGTGGAAGGTTGTAACTGACGGCCTGGGCCCCTACCTCGCTCGGCCTCCCTTTCTTCCAGCTGTACCAGGGCTCCTCTGGTTCCTTTGTGCTCGCAGGCGCTGCGTGAAGGCGATCATTTTGCATCTTGGAGTTGGGTTTGCTTCCTGAATGGAGCCCGCACGGTTACTAGGGCAACCTTTGCCAGCAGCTGCAGTTCCACTGCCTCCCTCACCTGCTGTCCCCATTAGTGGCTTCCTCAGGTCTCTGAGAAAGCGTTACCTTTCCTGCCTTCTGCAGGGGCTGGGTGCTGAGGGGGCTTTGAAAGATGAGGTTGTCTGCAGATTTTGTGGGAGCCTCGGGAGGTGTAGAGAAGGCAGTGGTCAATGGTATGAACTGGTTTTAGGATTAAAATCAGAGTGAGAAAGGGTTATCTGGGGATAAAAATACCAACACAGTCTTCAAAGGAATGAAAATGGAGACTTGCCCTGACCTGACAATTAGAAGAGCTGAACTCTAACTCCTGCTCTCTCACTAATGAATCTGTTAGCCCTGGGGGAGGCACCTCACCTTACCAGGTTTCTTTATTCTTGTCTGTAAAATAAGGGAGTCTTTACCTCTTATTCTAGGATTCTTTTATATTAATAACTTCAGCCTTCTGGTTTGGATTGGGGACACCTATTAATGATAAAATAAGGTGCAGATCGGGTGTGCCAAATAACTAACATTTATTATGGGCACAAGATACTGTACTTTGTGTACAATATTATCTCATTTAATCTTCAAAACAGCTCTGTGCGGTGGGTCCTATGATTATCTTTATTTTCCAAAGAATAAATTGAGGCAAAGAAAGGCCAATAAAGCCGAAAGCTATTGTATGGGACACCTAAAACACACTGTTCGAGAAGCTGCGTGCCTCCACTGCTTGTTATCTCGGGAACTGAGCTTTGAACCTTGGGCTCTTCCTGTTGTAAACTGCTTGTCATCAGTATTTGCTCCTCTTTCTAAAGTCCCATGATGTCAGATAGAGAGTGATGTCCCCATTCTACAGCTGAGGAAGCACAGGTTAAATGACCTGCCAAATCAAACCCGACTTCAATAACCAAATCACAAGGAGGCCCCAGGTGGTGTACTGCCAGAGAGGCATCCACCTAGAAGCTTCCATCCTCCCTTTCCACAGAGAAATTGCCCTTTCTTGGGTCCACTATCACACAAATTACAGAACTGATTCTCCTAAGGATCTATGAGGTGGCTGCTAGCCATGGGGCCTGGCCCTGACCTGACCCTTGCCTGTGCTCCCCTTTTAGGGTTACACAAGTAAACTGTCCCCAAACAAGTTCAACTCCTCACTTTGATCCCTCCTAGAGGGAAAGTGGAAGAGGGAGATGGGGGTGGGAGGGAAGAGGAAGGGGGAGGAAGAAGACATGGTTGAGGTCTGCAAAAAAAGAGGTAAACTGATGAGCAAATTAGCAAATAGTGGAGAAGGAGGGGTAGGGGGGAGGACACAGCAAGGGCAGGTCATGTGGTAGCTGGCTAAACACAAATAACCTTGAAACGTCCTCTGAAAAAAATCAGTCTTCAGACCATTAGCTGCTTCAGTAGGATGACTTTGGGTGTAAATGTGTACGCAGTTCCTCACATAAGCCATAATCGTTTCCCAAAAGATCCTGCAAGATTGTCAAATACCCGTATTCCTCTTGCATTCCTATTGCTCACTTAGCAATTGGCCCTCAATCAGTCCAGTTTTGGTGAACAAATCTTCAAACTTCTTTAAAGTCCAAAATTGATTTCCTAAGAGCATTGAAGGGCACAGAACAAAGTTCAAACAATTCACAAATATTTATCCAGGCCTTGATGTGCATTGCACTGGTTTGATAAAACAAGGTAAAAATCAAAGGCAACCAAAGATTTAACAGAAGCCCTCAAAGGCTGAAGACAATGTTCTGTTTCTAAGTGCAACCACTTAATCTCTCTGCTAGTGCCCCAAATAAAAGAGGAACACTCAAGTAACCATTGGAAAAGTTCTTGTATGTCCCTGTCTACTTCAACTGTCTAACTAATATTTTAGACTCCACATTTTATTTTTTATGTAGGAAAGGATTAATAGCCCACATGTATGCAATTTGACTCCTCCGATTCCCTACTTTGTCCTGGAAAATACCACTAGAGAAGGTGTGCACATCTCCTGCCTATTACCGAAGTAATAGGAAAGTTTTGAACCACCATACCTTCAAAAATGAACTCTCAGACACACAAAGGAAAAGTGAGGAAATATCATACATCATTTGATAATGACATCTGAAGAAAGCACAAGGCAAATCTGAAAACGATCACTAATTCTAAGCTAAAATCCCTTTCCTGCTTTTGGAGAAAATTTAAGTGTTTATTACATTAGGTATTTTTCATTAGGTCCAGATGAATTCCTATTGCAAATACTAACAGGAGAAGGAGGAAAGAAAGAGGGGAAGGGGTAGAAGGGGATCTTTGGGAGTACATGGTTCCCAGGACAACTATAGCAGGAATGTCCTTTTATCTCATGTTCCAGTTATTTATTGCTACATAACAAAGCACCCCCAAACCTAGTGGCTTCAAACAACAATTATTTATTTTGTTCATAAGTCTGCGTGTGAGCCGGGCTCATCAGGTAAGACCGGTCTCTGCTCAGTGCAATATTGTCTGGGGCAGCTCTGCTGTAGGCCAGAGGGTCCATTTCTGAGACAGCTCACTCACATTGCTGGCAAGCTGGTGCTAGCTGGCCCCTGGGAGCTCAGGGGCTAGGGCCAGGGACTTTGGTTCTTTTCCATGTGGCCTAGATTTCCTCACAGTATGATAGCTGGGTTCCATGGGTGAAATCGCAAGAGAGCGAGCACGTGCCAGGTGGTAGCTGTGTTGACTTTCATGATGTGGGATCAGAAGTCACTTCTGCTGTACACAAAGTTCAAAAAGAGGGGACATAAAAATTCACCTTTTGGTGGAGGAGGGGCAAGATTCTGAAAAAAGGCCC